ATTTGTGGTTGATGAGTTATAGCCGTTCAAAGGTAACCAATCACACTTGCGTTTCTTTTGGTAGCCACTGTATATAACAAGGTTTAACCTTGTGTTTTATAAACAGATAAGGTATAGCAGTATTGAATTGAAAATTATTAATACAAAGCATTGTTTCCATTTATAATAAAGTGATTAATTTCTATTTTGATTCAATATTAACATCAGTTTTATATACTATTGTTTCATTATAAATATAAATACTTACTTTAAAGTTATTTAAATACATAACTTTTGCACCTTATAAAGTTAAACTGATAATGGTAAATTTGTTTTGATTTGAAAGTTCTTTTTGTTAATTTTGCATTTTATTGTTCTCCATTTATTGTATATATTACATGAGAAATCATAAATTTTTCTTGTATTATTAGTAATGTATTACTAACTAAACAGTTTTTTTTATCTGCTATCTCCCAGTATTCAATAATATTTATTGTATTTAAAAGAAGATCAATTAGCTTATTAGGATTAAAAGATTCTTGCTATTTTTAATATTTTTCAAATTTCTTCAGTTAAATTATTTAAATAAATATTTTAATAAATATTTTGTAAGATATTTAAAATTCTAATTGATTTTTTGATGATAAGATTATCATAAAAATAAAGGATAAAATAACTTTTAAATGGATGATTTAAATACTGATAATCCAGTTACAGGTGGAAGTTGTATTAAATCACTAATAATAATAATATTAATTTCTCTAAAAGCTCAAGTATTATTGCAAATATATTTGATATAAAATCAAAGAGTTATAATAATACCATAAAATTTCTTCAATTATTAAAATATTGAATTGAATTTTTTTAATTTGTTTTTATATTTATTATTATAAATCGATAAAGTTTGAAATTTTATTTAAATTATATTTATTCTTAAATTAGAATATATTATAATTTCTCTAACATTTTATTTTTAAGGAATTTAGTTAATTTCTTAAAATTTTTAATATATTTTGTAAAATAACATTTCTTAGTTTAAGAATAACGTATCTAAAATTTCAGAATATTTTAAATTTATAATTTAGTTCAATATAATTTTGTATATTTATCTAGTAATATCAGAAATAGCCTTTGATAATTAAACAAAACTTAATAAATATGTAGTACTTCTAAAGCTCTGAACAATTCGAATTAAACTAAAAATTTTTTGGATCAGTTCGGTTTTAGATTGCATAAAAATCGATCTGAAAATTTTCAGTTCAGTTCAGATTTTTTTCAGATTATAATTCTAATCCAAACTGAAAAAATCTGAACTGAACTGATGATTTTGGATTAATCTGAAAGTTCAGTTTAATTATATGCGAAACTATTGGAGGATCACAAAAATTTAGCAAAACTCTTAGAGAATCGCAATTTTTTGCAGTTTTTCTTCGAATTTCGCAAAAAAATTGCGAAAACCTTGGAGAATCGCAATTTTTTGCGATTTCTCTTAGAATTTCGCAAAATTATCATGAAACTCTTGGAGTGTCACAAAAATTGCTATTTCTCTTCAAATTTCGCAAAAAAATTGCGAAACTCTTGGAGAATCGCAATTTTTGCGATTTCTCTTAGTATTTCGCAAAAAATATCGCGAAATTCTTGGAGAGTCACAAAAAATTGCAATTTCTCTTCGAATTTCGTGAACTTTGAAGAGAAATTTGCAATGTTTTGCGATTCTCCTAGAGTTTTACATATAAATTGCAGATTCCTTATATAATTGAACCATAATTTCAGATTAATCTGAAAATTCTGGTTCAATTCGAATTTTTACCAGTCTGCGGTTCAGTTCAGATTCAGATTAGCATTTTTAAGATAATAATCTGAACTGAACTAAACCGAAATTTTCAGTTCAGATACAGATTGGCATCTAATCTGAACTGAATTGAATCGTTCAGAGCTGTAAGTACTTTAAAGCTAACTTAAAATCGCTTTTTATATCTTAAAATAATAAATCTTTTATTTGTCTTTAGAAAATCATATTCTGAGAAAATTTTAACTAAATTTAAAGGCTTAATGTTATAACATCAAAAACTAAAATGCAAAAAAAATTGAAATTTTATTAAAAATTCAAATATAATGCACATAAATTGTATAAAATGCAATTAAGGATCTAAACAAATTTTATTTATTTAAAGTTAGTTAATTTAACAAATAAATTCTTTTACTGCTGAAAATGTATTTAAATACTTTTTTTTAGATAATATTCTGTATCCTGATTGTGAAATTGAAGTATAGGCATATCAAACTAAATAAGTATTAGTTATTTCACAGAGATCAATGGATAACATTAATTTTATAGCGCAGCCATGAAAATATTAATGATATCTATATGATCACTGTGGAATAACTTTTTATTTCCTGAGAATTAATGCCTGTGATGAAAAATTTTTAGTTTATTAATAATTTATTTTATTTAGCTATGAAAAGTTTATTTTATTATAAAACATTTATTTTGTTATAAAATTCCTATACTTTCTTTCTCTCTTTTTTTACTTCTCTTTTGAAAACAAAAAATTAAAATGCCTCAAAAACACGCCAATAAAGAACAGAAACTTCACAAAACTTTTAACCCTATCTTCACTAATGCAAGTATTTTCTATCATTCTCAAAAAATACCAGAGATTACAACTTCTATTTAAGATACTTTGAATCCTTCTTTCTCTCTATAAATACTATATCTTAAATTCGAAAAAAATTAATTTTTATTGTCAAAAAGCTATGGTACCTAATATTGAAAGATCAACTCAAAATTGGGTTGCTACATTTAAAAAAGTTTGCAAATGTTGCAATTATACTATATCTTTTGAGAAGATTACAGATTCAAAATTGATTAAATAACAAGTTTGTGAATATATTACACAAATGACTAAAAAAAATTTGGTGAATATAAAGCAAATTCAGTAAAACAAGCTGTTGATGCTATTAATCATCATTTGGTAAAAGTTTCTATAATATGCAGAATTATTTTACATGATAAATATGAGTTTTTAGATTTATTTACTGTTTTACATGGCAAAATGAAAGATTTGTAAGAAAAAGGATTTGGTAAAAAAGAGGATCAATGGCATTGATTGCACAGCAAGTTCAAGAAATTCTTGCTGATAATTTTCTTAATCTTAACACCCCTGAAGATCTTTTATATTGTGTATTTTTTTGAATTGTAACTAACTTTGTATTTTGTGGTGGTGAACATTATAATCTTCATGTAGATCAATTTCAATTTCTATCTAATGATAGTTTGCTTTTTGCTATTATCGTAGCAAAAATAATTAGCGTAGAATTGAAGGAGGAGCTGCACAGAATATTCATCTTCCTCCAAATTCAGAATCAGCTAATGATATTAAAAAATATTTGTCTAAACGTCCTAGTGGTGCTTCTAAAAATTTCTATTTACATATTAACCCACTTTGGCGTGAAACTGGTATTTAGTATAAACAAATACATTATGGAAGTAATAAAGTAGGGAATTTTATGAAAGATATTGGAAAGTCTGTTAAAGTAGAACTTCCATTTGGTTTTTAACAAACCATTCTGGTCATAAAACTGTTGCTCAAATTCTTCAGAATGCTAATGTTTCAGAAGATACTATAATGGGAGTAACAGGTCACAAAAGTATTCAAGGTATTCGTGTATTTAAAGAAGTGAATAAAAAACAACATCTTGCTGCTATGGATACTTATATTAATGCTATAGAACCATCAAGATCAATTCTTACTGATTCATCAAGTAAAAATGCAAATGTTGATGTTCAACCAGAAATTCCTTCTTCAATTTTTACTACAACATCAGAATTTTCTTCTGCTAATGATATTCAAAAGAAACTTCCTATTTTTAATAATTGTCATTTTAATAATGAAACTTTTAAATTGTAAATGTATTTGTATTACAAATAATATTAAAATAACTTTGATATTTTCACTGGTATTAAAATATCAATATAAAAAATCACAGGCGACCATTAGTAACCATGAGATAAAGTAGATTATATATTTGCGGCAAATTTTAGTCATATTAGTTGCTAGATAAGATTTTGCATTTTCGAACTATAGCATCAAAAAAAATAATTTTTTTGGTTGCATACCATGCATTACACAATAACAAGTTAATGTTGAACAATGAACAAAAGGGAGCTTTATTTGAAGATGTAAAATTTAAAGAAAGCTATGTTGTCAAAAGATTGTACTGCTTTAAACTTTAAATATCAAATTTCTTTTCCCAGATTCAGCAACTTAATACAAAAATGGGTTTGAATTAAATTAATCTCGATGTTACGATAATATCAACAACAACCTATTTGTAAGTTAAATATTTTTTAATAGATTCAGTATTATAACAATTCATTTTTTTCGTCTTATCAGGATATATATATTTTATTGATAAAAAGAAATGCTTAGGTAATCAATAGCGTTATGTTTCTTTTTCTTGATTGCATAATTAATAATAAATGCTTGAACTATAAAGTCAAATTGATCATTTTATTATTTAAGTTGAAAGTAATAATTTTTAGTTAAAAAAAATCAGCCAAATTGCTAAATTGGTAGGATATATGTTTGATTATCGAAATTTTAAATATTCAAGGTCTATTATCGTTAAGGAATCGGGTAAATTTGGTAATCTTTTTATTTGAGTGTTAGAACACAAGAGTTTCTTTAAGGAGTTTGGCAATGATGGTAAGCTTGTTATTTGAGTTTGAGAGCAATCGAGTTCCGTTAAGAAGTATGGCAATGATGGTAAGATTGTTATTTGAGTTCGAGAGCAAACGAGTTCCGTTAAGGAGTATGGCAATGTTGGTAAGCTTGTTATTTGAGTGTTAGAACACCAGAGTTTCTTTAAGGAGTTTGGCAATGATGGTAATCTTGTTACTTGAGTTTGAGAGCAATCGAGTATCGTTAAAAAGTTTGGTAATGTTGGTAAACTTGTTATTTGAGTATGAAAGCAATAAAATTCCGTTAAGGAGTTTGGTAATGTTGGTAAGCTCGTTATTTGAGTTTCATAGCAATCGAGAATCATTAAGTAGTTAGGCAAAGTTGGTAAGCTTGTTATTTGAGTTTTAGAGCAATCGAGTTCCGTTAAGGAGTTTGGTAATTTTGGTAAGCTTGTTATTTGAGTTTGAGAGCAACTGAATCCCGTTAAGGAGTTTGGTAAAGTTGATAAGCTTGTTATTTGCATTTGAGAGCAATCGAGATCCTTTAAGGAATTTGGTAAAATCGATAAGCTTTTTATTTGAGTTTGAGAGCAATCGAATATCGTTAAGGAGTTAGGTAAAGTTGGTAAGCTCGTTATTTGGGTTTGAGAGCAATAGAGTACCGTCAAGGAGTTTGGCAATTTTGGTAAGCTTGTTATTTGAGATTGAGAGCAATCGAGTCTCTTTAGAGAGTTTGGTAACGTTGGTAAGCTTGTTATTTGAGTTTGAGAGCAATAGAGTTTTGTCAATTTTCGATATCTTTGTAATGCGCCTAAGGAGTTCAATATGTTATCCTTATTAGTATCTGTAATAATTAAACAAACAATCATGCATGTCATCATAAATAATTAATTCAAGATTGCGGATTCTCTTTTCTAATTCATTTATAATTTCTTGGTTTTCTTTGGACTCTTCTTCTCGTTCCTTAACCTTTTCTTCTAAATTATTAATATATCCTTCTCGCTCTCTAACCTTTTCTTCAAAATATTTCAATTGTGAACGTAACCCTTCGTTACTTTGCTCCAATTCTTTAATTCTCTTTTCCAAGTCTTTTACGGATTTTCTAAATTGATTTTTAAAACCATTTTTTTTTTTTTAGTTGTATAGTTAATTGACATGCAAAATTACCTCAGCCCTCGGTTTTAATTTTTTCCAAATGTAAATATTTCCTTAAATAAACTAGTCTGCTCGGATAACTTAAGAAGGATCCAACCGCTTCTTGTATCACCAAATAAAGTTAACAGCTTTCTAAAATTGGATATTTTAAGTTTCTCTGTCCAACCTTTTGAAATTCATAAGAAGACTTATTTTTATTGAGGTAATTCCACCTACAAAATAACGAAAATTACAAAAATGCCATTATGTAAATCACCACCATTTTCGTGAGAGCTCGTTTTTAGGAAGATAATCGCTTTTTAAATATAATTTCGTTTAATGTTTGGACAAAATGAATTAAAAAATAATTTAATGCTAACTTAAGTGATACAACCCGAAAAGAATTCGCCTATATTCGCCTAAATATATCATCTAAAGATAAATTAATAAATACTGTAAGCAGTTTTTAACTAATAAAAGTTATAACAACTAATCAGATCGATCCTCCGAAAAGAATCTAAAAAAAGGTAAAAAAAAATAATCAAAAATAAACACAATAAAAAGAAGGTGAAAAAGGAAAAGAAAATCATCCCATAATTGCTCCATATAAAAATTTGAAAAAATATAATCCTTGTGATTCGTCTTTACTAAGAAATCATTAGTAATACGCGGCCCTGAACTTTGGAGGTGACTTTTGCTAATTTATTCAAATAAAATCAAAATATTTGAAAACTTTATTTGAACTTCCTTTTAGTATAATTAGAGGATATTGTTGGATCAACATGTCATAATTGTCACTGGCGAGTTGTATAAAGTTTATGAATTTACTATACCCAAATGGTATTTTTTTTATAAATTAAATATTAAAATTTAATAAGCTAATTAATCTTTATTTTCTCTGTTTTATTAATATTAATCAACTCATGTTTTATTTTTTGGTTATCATCTTGTTCTACGAATAATGACGATGTCAAAATTTCATAATGTTAGGTCATTCTAACTGTATTTATTTAAAAAGTCTTTTTTTTTGGTCTGTATTAAATGAAGACTTCTGATTCTTATGTTATTGCATGTAAAATTTTTCACACCTTGTTATTTTTCAATTATAATATAATTTATTAATTGCATTACAATAAAATGGAGAAGTTATATCGAATTATTATGGATTAAATATGTATCAAAATATTTAATGAAGAAAGTCAAGTATTGTACATTTCACCTTAACTTTTCCTATTTGGATGCAAATTTTTTGGATCAATTTTTTTATTCAGATCGAATCAATTAATAGTATTTACTCTCGAACAAATTCCAGTTGATGACGCGTTCAAAAAGTATAAGCCCTTACATTAATGGAATCTAATAGCATTTCTCCACAGATATAATTGACCATAGAAGAAGTTATGGAGGCTACAATATAATATATATTCAATTAATGTCAATGAAACATTGGAAATTTTCATTTTTATACATGTTGTATAAGCCATGAAATCATACTCAACAATAGAAGTGGAATAAATATTTTAAATTGAATTCGAATATCTTAATAAAGTATATTAGTTTTTTTTATTAGAATTCGAATACCTGGCAACAAGACATAATTTTACGAGTAAAAAAGAACCATAATGACGTACTTGATCTTTTTAGGATTTTTCTTTCTGAAGGTGGATAATTCAATTGCCATCCTTCGCAAATATAATATTACTTCATGTAAGTATATTTTTTTTAATTAAAATATTTTGATAAAAATAGAATTAAATACATACTGGTAATAAAATATATATCTCGTAAAAATCAGTCACAAGTACCAAGATTCTACTTTATTGTTCTCGATATTTTTTTTTTAATTGTTTTTATTTCCCCTTTTTTCGCTCATTAGATCAGAAGTATACGGTATATTTTTTCAGATTGTTTTTTAGTTTTTAAATTTGTTTTAAATTTTTTTTTCAGTTTTTATTTATTCAATTTCTTTTTACTTTCGGTTGGTTTTAAATCTCAGTTTCGATCGCTTCAGGCCGCAATGATCGAACTTTTTCATTTTTTTAAACTTTTCTTTAGTATTTTATATCTGCTTGAATCGCTTCTGTGTAAGGTGTTTTTAAAATTTTTTATTTTTTTATTTATTGGTTTAATCGTTTCGGGGTGCACGATCGAAAAAAATACGGGTGGTAGATTTAGATTTGATTTGGTCATTCGATTTTTGATTAATTGAAAATCTAATCCACCTTTATTTATACCATACATTGACTAGCTTTATAATAACTAACTTAAAAAAGATAATTTCAATTTACTCTGACATATACTAACTGTATTTGCCATATTTATTGATTTAAAATAAACATCTGATAATCCGAGCCTGGTAAAATTTCAAGAACTAAATTTTTAAAGTGGATCAGATATGATCAATAAACAAAGCTTTTCTTTCTTATGATAAATCGATGTTTTTAAGTCCATCAGCGATTTCCTGGGTTTTCTCTTCAGAATCAATCTCTCGGGATAATCTATTGTAAGTTTCTTCGCCAACTAAAATCGCAAAAATTATATGAGTATCAATAAAAATATTTCGAACAATTTCATTCGAAAATATGAAATAAAATAATTACTTGTTTGAGCAAAAGCAATTTTATCAGAAGTCAGAGACTTTTTGTTGAATTCGTGAACCTTTTTGATCGCCTCCCATATTTTATTGTCAATGTCTATGGGAAACCGTTTATATTTTTTCGAATACGTATCGATAAAACAGACACCTAGAACCGTAATGACACTCAAATCATTTTTGGTTTTTTCCATAAGTAAATTTCGATATTTAATAGCTTGTTCTTTGGCTTTCTTACTATTTTTCACGATTTGCTTCGGAGTATATCCACTTCTTTTTGTTTCAACCGCTACGAGAAATCCATTATTATCTGCAAAAATCAAATCTCCTTTGTGCCCTCCAATTCTATATTCAAAATCGTATAAATACTCGAATCCCGGTAGCCATTTATCATTAATTTCCTTGATTAATTTATCTTGCAATTTTGCCTCTTGTTTTGCTTGTTTGTTTTTTAAATACTCTGGTAATTTAACGTTCCATTCCCTAATTTTTTCATCGTGAATGGTTTTCAGGTTCAACCTACCTAAATCAGGATAGTAACTTTGCAAAAATCGAAAAATTGCTACAAATATGTCGTGAAGATTCTTTGAATCCCATTTGTAAATTTTGCGGTTATTGCCAAGATACATCGGTAAAAACAAATGTTCTTCGTCGCCCGGTTCCTTTTCAAATAGAGTTACGTTCTGATTATCTTGGATGAACCGTAAAAATTTTTTGCATTTACTATAAGTCCAATCTAAATTCTTAATGTCAAATTGTTCATCTAAGGATATATCCATTTTGAACGTTTTAGGGAAAAACGATAAATGTTTATAATAAAATACAAAGCCTGTAGTACCGTAACATCTTTTTGAATGCATCCGAATTGGTGGTACGTATGCAGTGTTTGTGATTTTGCCCTCATTAATCTGAATATTCGAATCATCTAATTCATGTGATCAACGCCAATCTGCAGGTTTCAAACGAGCTAACCTATAGGTATATTTGACAATTATATATTAATGTACAATAAATTTTTATCCTAAGAACTTTTAGAGAAAAGCTTCCATTACTACGAATTTTGGAAATTTTATGTTTTGAAGTTAGATGACCTAGCTTTCTTTTCGTAAGTATTTTTTTTTAAAAATAGATGTTGTATATTAATATTTTTCATAAACTTGAAAATGACACAAATATAAAAAAATCTTTAAATATTAATAATTCAAATTATCGGCGAATTAAGTTTGTTAATGACACAAATTAGTAATTACAACACAATCAAAAAAAAACCTTTCCCAAATGACATGAAATATGTATTGATATATACAACTAAGTCAATAAAGCAAAGCGGTTTTTTTTTTTTTTTTTTTTTATTTTTTTTAGAGAAATATTTTTACTAAATTTATTATTTACGAGAATGTTGCATGATCAACATCTTTAAAAAATTTTTATCACTCAAATATCCAATAATTAAAAAAAAAATCAAAATGCAAACTGCCATTAATTCAAATGAGTGGATTGAAAATATATTTCAAGCAAAGATATCTAATACTTTGAAGACAACCATTTTAACAGGTTTCAAGAGATTGGTACAAAAAATTTTGGAAAAGTCCACCGTGAAAATTGAAATTTCAAAGAAATACCTCGCGTTAAAATCATTAACAATGTCACAGATAAAGAACTTGCCCTTGAGGTAATTACAAATGAAATATAATATTGTATTTCAGTCTATTTATTATAATCATTTATTTCTCAAGATAAAAATTTATATTCTTATTAATTTCAACGAAAGTTGATTTTCATTGTTATATTACTCGCTTTTTGGGGATTACCGCATTAAAATATCTTAAGTTAATTAAGGATATGTATTAACTTTTATATTGTATTTTTTAATATATCAAATTGATCAATTGAAAAATTATTTGCTAGTAATGGAATATGCTGATGGCGTTGCACTTAGAAACTATTTGAAAGATAATTCTGATAAGCTTGCTTGGAGGACAAATACAAGTTGACATATCAGTTGGCTAGTGCTTCCCTATAAAAAAATTGTCCAGAAAATGTTATCGAAAATGTCCGGTGTATGTGGAAAATGTCTGAAAAATGTCAAAATCGTCCGGAATGTGTACCAAAACATGGTGGATTCCGAACTTTATCTGGATACTACAACAAATTTATTTCATAGGGCTGTGTTTTTACATGACGAAGGAATTGTGTATTGTGATTTGGTATCTTAAATAATATATCTTATTTGGATTATTATGATTACTGTTAATTATTAATATTAATTTTATATACATATATTATCATTCCGGCAAAATCATTAAGGTGTAATGAAACTAGCAGACTTTGGTCTATCGAAAAGAATTGATGAAGCAACTAACGGTCAAATGTTTTTGGTATAATTCCTTATATCGATCCAAAAAGATTTGGTTATGGAGAAAAGATGCAATACATCGCAAAATATACGCTAAATGAAAAAATGACGTTTACAGTGTTGGTGTTCTGTTGTGGGAGACATCAAGTGGTCGTCCTCCTTTTATATTAAAGGCGAACTATATGATCTTGATTAGCTTTAGAAATTTTACAAGGACGCAGAGAAATTGTCATTCCTTGTACGTTTGAAGATTACGTAAACATTTATGTAGGTAAATATAATATTATAAATTTAAATATAAAGTTATCGATCATTTACATCGTTTATATAATTTTAGGATTTTGGGACGACAAGCAACAATCGTCCGGCTATTAACAAACTGGATCTTCATAAAATTTACAGTTCGGAATTTACCAGTACATTTACTCATTTTAAGCACCAACCATTAAAAAGTTTCTGTTAAATTTGATATTAATAATATAAATACACCAATTGAATGATTAAGCTTTAGCGGAATGCTTGTCTTCACACGAGTAAATAAATAAAAAATTTTAACAACGAAATAGAAATATTAATGTTAAATTTAAAAAAAATACGAACGAGACGGTTAAAAAACTAGATTTGTCATTCTATTATATTAAAATTAAATTAATTAAATTATATTTTAAAACAGATAAATATCAAAATAACTTTTAAATATCATTGGGAAAGTCTACCTTATTAGAAACATCAGCAGCTTTAAGACTTAGCCTTGGAACGGGTAATTATCATACTCATAATTCATCCGATTATCAATTTGACCATCATCACATGTGCCTTGTAGGATCTGTTAATGATGTTTTCCTAATATCCATTATCGTCTACAAATAAGAAAATCATGATGTGTGTTAAATTAAAAAATTTCCACCATTACTTTTGGTGCAGACTGTATTTCATGCAAATCTCTTCACTTCGACAGGTGAATTGTTCCTAAAATATTTACAGCAAATTTCATATTTAATGACGAGACTTATTAGATTATAGGGAGGGAAGCTGGTGTTAATCGAGACTTGAGCCGAAACTAAGAATATGTATCATTATAACTTTTAGTCTGAGTAAGAACTTTATTAACTATAGAGTTTCCAAAACTTATCCCAAGCCTGTCATTACAGAACTCTGAAAATACTAAGTCGAACTACGGACTATTTTATAAATATACTATTTAGATATAATGATAACTAACTAAATAAGAAAAATTAGGGGAATTACAAATAACCATTTGGTATATAAAAATAGGAAGCATTGATTTTGCAGATCGGTACGTTTCGATTCAAATTTGCGAAATTGACCAAACAATTCATATTTAAATCAAAAATTTCAACATAAAAAAGTATTTGTATTGTTCATTTTACTATGTAATAAATGTTTAATAAAGCGTATAAATAAAATTTTCGTTAAATAATTATTCAGAATATCTAATGAAAGTTAGAGATTGCAACCCTTTCATTGGTTAGAAAGCGGTATTTTACATAATGTTTGTAGTACGCTTTGGATTTTCGGTAACATTATGACTTGATGTAGCAGCATTTAAATCAACAAGAATAGAAATTATTTCTACATTTTTGTAAATAAAGTTGTTTATAAAGATTAATTTTATATTTGTATTTTATTTTGAATTAACTGATTCCAATTACACTGAAAAAATTATTTGGTTGAATAATCGAAAAGCGTTTCGCAAACTCACATATTTATTATTATTAACAGGAAGATTGGCCCGATCTGCATACCTTCATTTTTTTTGAATCTTTATATTTACGTAGCACAAACTGATGTAATTTTTCAACTAATAATAAAGTACGTAAAATAAAATCCATTCATTAATTATTTATAACTTGTAATAATAATTCATGTAGAATCTATAGCGAAAGCTGTTAATATTGAAGAATTTTATTGCAACAACATATATAGGTTAACTCATAACTGCATATACTTTATATCAAAATTGATATGAGCAACCACAGGGAATTAAATTTAAAACTAAAAGCATTACATAGAAAGAATAACATAAAATACTGAAACCAACCTCATTAAATATTTATTTGTAACCATTACCAAAACAGAAATCAAAATCAGATAAACCAATAACTCTAGGTAGGATTAACTACTCACTACAACAATATGGACAAAATTCAAGACTACAGGAAAATATCAAAGGACAGTCTGGGCAGAAACTCTTTTTCACCAAGCTTGAGGATTTCTCACTAGAAGAGGGAGCTGAGAAAGCAACGTTACTGAAAGCTGAAATGACGATAATAAGTACGAAAATGTGAATTTTCATGACGAATTTGAAGGATTAATGTCACAAATGTTTCTATAATATGTGAATTTTATATACAGATTCTTGTGGAAATGTTGTATTTATAAGTAAATCAGGTTAGAGTTACTGTACAATTTAAATTATTTGATGGAATGGTTGTCTTTTGACAAATGTGATAACAAAATTTCCTCACTTTATATAGTCTTTTTTAAAGTATCAGGCTTACTAGGCTTATCTTTAACAAACTTGTATTTGCTTGCTAGAAATTCTCATAAAAAGCGTTACAGCCTTTACAGCCTCTCAAATGTACCATTGTAAATCCTAAATATAATGAATAGAAATAAATTTAAGCTATTGTATATATACAATGAATATAATTTTGCCCACAGACGATAATTTGTTCAACACACATCATTCCAGCCAGTTCACAAATGGGATATTGATGTTGTAATGACATTTTTTGCGGTAACTAAGCCAAGAGGCTTTAGAAACGTAACTAAGCCAAAAAGCTTTTGTAACGTACCTTAGCCATATGTTAATAAATTCAAATTCCTTTTAATTTCAATAAAAAGTAGTAAATAATTAAATAATAGATACTGTTACGATTTAGCTTGTAAATTGCTTTCGATAATTGTGGCTAGACCTGCATAAGCCCAAATTTTGAAGCCCAGACTTAATTATAATTATTGGCGATGCGAAATTTAAAAATATGTATTTTTGTTTTTTACAATTTTTTAACAAATTATTATTACAATAAATAAACAAAAAATCAATGAAGAGCACTTTGTAATACCAAAATGCTACTACTGTTTACAAACAATATGAAATTGATTAACAACAATAAAATATTTTATTATACAATCAGAGGAGGCTAAATTTTAATTAAATAAAAAATTCCGGGCTGGTACCTTGAACCCGGACCCGGCCCAGAAAATTCTAAACTAATATTTGCCGGCCCGTACCCAGCCTCTACTTAGTGTTGTAATTTTAAATGTAAGAAAAGGTTTTTTATTGAGTAAAATGAAGTAATATTGATGCTAACTTTATTTAATAATATCAGTGTTTCTTTAACGTCGTCGCTCTACACTTTCGCAATAATTAAAACTGAGCAATAACGAATAATTGAA